AAGGCTGCAAACCTCCACGCTCACTTAGAAAACCCGCATAAAGCTGGTAGATTTTGTTAAATAGACGTGCATGGGGTTTTCACTGTAAGATTATTTCAGTTCTTTGATTGTTGAAGGGGAAGGAAACTTTATGAAAGCATTACTGACACCAGTAAATTAAGCTATCGATTGCCCTTTAAATGCCATCAGCTCTACAGGGTACACACACAATTGATCTCAACATTTAAATTAAGTGTTTTATAGCTGAAATCATTAATCTGACAATTAATATTATCCTTTTTGGATCACTCTGCATCTACTTCATTTCAAGGCTTCTACTTCCAAATCATAGCTTGATTCCACAATCATACACATATCTAATCAGATGTTAGTTCTATTCACCTCAACGGAGGCTACTCAAAGGAAGTCTGTGTATAACTTCAAGTGTAACTTACTAAAAATGTCTTAACACCATAACTGAAGAGCTCATAAAAATTATCTATGAACAATTATAGGGTACATAATAATTGAATTGAAGCACTTCAGCTTACAGTTGCTATGTTGGTGCTACAGTACCCAACAGGAGTCAACTTCATATGGATTTAAGTCTTCAAGAGATCTAAACTATTTCTGAAAAGTGTTGCCAGTTACATATGCCAGTTATACCGCAACTAAAGGAATGTAGTTGTGCTGCTCATAACCCTAAATTGCCAGATAAGTGGATAAATACTGGATTAAAATATTCTTGTTTACAGTTTGTCTTTATTCAGGCAGCTTTACTGTCAGTTGTTTATACCCACTGTATTTTCCATTTATTTTTTTTATTTATTTTATTCCATTCCATTCCATTCTTAGGAACACCTATCTCAGTTTGTTGTATGTTTTTAAATGAAGTTTTCATATGCTTGCTTAGCTCAAGAAACTGATCTGCTTACATACCCAGGAACCAATGATTTTCCCTTAAACAGCCACTGACTGACACTGTCTGGAGAAGCATAGTGTAAGGTAAGAAGGAGTGTTCAGGGGTACTTGATTAGGAAACTGTTACATTCTTAATCAATTAAATAAACACCTACAATGCACTTCAGCATGTTACCTACTTTGTTTGGGACAACTTTCTTCCAGCAAGCAATAATTTGATATCAATTAAGTTTGGATACTGTGTATCAAGGTCTCATACTTGCCACTGCTTTCAGAGTATGGAATGCTCTCCTTGAACAACAAACATCGCTCCTTACTTAAGCAGCACTAAGAAGAATAGTTGACAATCAGAGAAAAAGGAACATCCATTTTTCATTATATAAATATGGTAACAATATTCTGCTGGACAGAGTAAACAGGAAATATATGAGTTAAACAGCAGGGGAAAGGAAGTGAGATATACTGTATTATATATTACAATATCAGTGCTAAGCTGCACCAGCCTAGCACAGTAGCTACTTTAAGC